TGGAGGTAGCGACGATTATTTACATACACTCTATACACAAGCAATATGAAAAGTCTGTAGCTGTCCCTTTCCGCGACCACTGTTCGTCTCCCGTTAAATGGATAATGGAAAACACACAGGGATGTTTCTTTTATCTAATAATGGGAAGTGTGGCCAGTAGGAGTCATACATAGTAAAGATAATAGATGTATTACAACAGCTGTGGAGGCAGCGACGATTATTTACACACACACTCTATACACAAGCAATATGAAAAGTCTGTAGCTGTCCCTTTCCGCGACCACTGTTCGTCTCCCGTTAAATGGATAATGGAAAACACACAGGGATGTTTCTTTTATCTAATAATGGAAAAGTGTGGCCAGTAGGAGTCATACGTAGTACAAATAATAAATATATTACAACAGTTGTGGAGGCAGCGACGATTATTTACCCACACGCTATATACAAGCAATAGGAAAAGTCTGTACCTGTCCCTTTCCGCGACCACTGTTCGTCTCCCGCTAAATGGATAATAGATGTATTACAACAGTTGTGGAGGCAGCGACGATTATTTACACACACACTCTATACACAAGCAATATGAAAAGTCTGTAGCTGTCCCTTTCCGCGACCACTGTTCGTCTCCCGTTAAATGGATAATGGAAAACACACAGGGATGTTTCTTTTATCTAATAATGGAAAAGTGTGGCCAGTAGGAGTCATACGTAGTACAAATAATAAATATATTACAACAGTTGTGGAGGCAGCGACGATTATTTACCCACACGCTATATACAAGCAATAGGAAAAGTCTGTACCTGTCCCTTTCCGCGACCACTGTTCGTCTCCCGCTAAATGGATAATGGAAAACACACTGAAATGTTTCTTTTATCTAATAATGTGTAGAGTGGCCAGTAGGAGTGATGAAAAGTAAAGATAATAGATATATTACAACAGTTGTGGAGGCAGCGACGATTATTTACATACACGCTATGTACAAGTGATAGGAAAAGTCTGCAGCTGTCCCTTTCCGCGACCACTGTTCGTCTCCCGCTAAATGGATAATGGAAAACACACAGGGATGTTTCTTTTATCTAATACTGTGTAGTGTGGCCAGTAGGGGTCATACATAGTGCGAATAATAAATATATTACAACAGTTGTGGAGGTAGCGACGATTATTTACATACACTCTATACACAAGCAATATGAAAAGTCTGTAGCTGTCCCTTTCCGCGACCACTGTTCGTCTCCCGTTAAATGGATAATGGAAAACACACAGGGATGTTTCTTTTATCTAATAATGGGAAGTGTGGCCAGTAGGAGTCATACATAGTAAAGATAATAGATGTATTACAACAGCTGTGGAGGCAGCGACGATTATTTACACACACACTCTATACACAAGCAATATGAAAAGTCTGTAGCTGTCCCTTTCCGCGACCACTGTTCGTCTCCCGTTAAATGGATAATTGAAAACACACAGGGATGTTTCTTTTATCTAATAATGGGAAGTGTGGCCAGTAGGAGTCATACATAGTAAAGATAATAGATATATTACAACAGTTGTGGAGGCAGCGACGATTATTTACACACACACTCTATACACAAGCAATATGAAAAGTCTGTAGCTGTCCCTTTCCGCGACCACTGTTCGTCTCCCGTTAAATGGATAATGGAAAACACACAGGGATGTTTCTTTTATCTAATAATGGAAAAGTGTGGCCAGTAGGAGTCATACGTAGTACAAATAATAAATATATTACAACAGTTGTGGAGGCAGCGACGATTATTTACCCACACGCTATATACAAGCAATAGGAAAAGTCTGTAGCTGTCCCTTTCCGCGACCACTGTTCGTCTCCCGCTAAATGGATAATGGAAAACACACTGAAATGTTTCTTTTATCTAATAATGTGTAGAGTGGCCAGTAGGAGTGATGAAAAGTAAAGATAATAGATATATTACAACAGTTGTGGAGGCAGCGACGATTATTTACACACACGCTATATACAAGTGCATGATAGGAAAAGTCTGCAGCTGTCCCTTTCCGCGACCACTGTTCGACTCCCGCTAAATGGATAATGGAAAACACACAGGGATGTTTCTTTTATCTAATACTGTGTAGTGTGGCCAGTAGGGGTCATACATAGTGCGAATAATAAATATATTACAACAGTTGTGGAGGTAGCGACGATTATTTACATACACTCTATACACAAGCAATATGAAAAGTCTGTAGCTGTCCCTTTCCGCGACCACTGTTCGTCTCCCGTTAAATGGATAATTGAAAACACACAGGGATGTTTCTTTTATCTAATAATGTGTAGTGTGGCCAGTAGGGGTCATACATAGTGCGAATAATAAATATATTACAACAGTTGTGGAGGCAGCGACGATTATTTACCCACACGCTATATACAAGCAATAGGAAAAGTCTGTAGCTGTCCCTTTCCGCGACCACTGTTCGTCTCCCGCTAAATGGATAATGGAAAACACACTGAAATGTTTCTTTTATCTAATAATGTGTAGTGTGGCCAGTAGGAGTCATACATAGTAAAGATAATAGATATATTACAACAGTTGTGGAGGCAGCGACGATTATTTACACACACGCTATGTACAAGTGATAGGAAAAGTCTGCAGCTGTCCCTTTCCGCGACCACTGTTCGTCTCCCGCTAAATGGATAATTGAAAACACACAGGGATGTTTCTTTTATCTAATACTGTGTAGTGTGGCCAGTAGGGGTCATACATAGTGCGAATAATAAATATATTACAACAGTTGTGGAGGTAGCGACGATTATTTACATACACTCTATACACAAGCAATATGAAAAGTCTGTACTTGTCCCTTTCCGCGACCACTGTTCGTCTCCCGCTAAATGGATAATGTAAAACACACAGGGATGTTTCTTTTAACTAATAATGTGTAGAGTGACCAGTAGGGGTCATACATATAAATATATATATATATATACATTACAACAGTTGTGGAGGTAGCGACGATTATTTACACACACGCTACACAAGGATGTTTCCTTTATATGATAATGTGCAGTGTGACATGTCAGTGGCGTAAATATAAAAAAACATATTTGTATTATAATAGTTGTGGGGTAGTGGGGTTATTGTTCCCACACCAGGCAACATGAACAGTCTGTAGTTGTCCCTTTCCCAGACCAATATAATTATTTGATCACTGTGTTCGGTTCTTCGCTCAGGATGCTGTACTGGGTACCTTGACTTTACTGAGGGTTTATTGAGAATCACATGTTAAGTAAGGATAAGAATTTATGGATGAACAACTTATTTATTACAATTAAGAGCGACTTTTCGGTGTAGGTTCTAAAGCCGTTATCAAAGTGATATACAGAGCCTGGTTGACAAGTATATACAAGTCGGAAGCAATGTTTATACAGTAGAGTTGATATTGTTATACTGGAGTAGAGAATCCTGTTATGTATATACAAGGCCATTCGTGCAACAAGTTGTCCCAGTTTCCCAGACCAATGCCCGTCCCCCGTACAAATAATAATTGTATAATACTAGTTATGGGGGTATTGTGGCGATGATTTTCCCACAGCCAATGCAAGGCAATAGGAACAGTGTGCAGTTGTTCCTTTCCCAGACCAATGTTCGCGCCCCGTATAAAATAATATGAAACATACGCAATGCTCTTTTTTCATAATAATGTGTAAGAGTGACGTTTCAGTGGACCGAATAAAAAAGCACTGTATTATACCCATTGTAGGGGTAGCCATGAGGATTTTTACATATCTAAAAAAGGCAATATGAAGACTCTGTAGTTGTCACTTTCCCAGACCAACGTACGCCTCTCGTTTAATTGATGGGGAAAATACACAAGGATGTTTCTTTTATATAATAGTAATGTGTAGAGTGACCAGTCAGTGGCTTGAGTATACAAAAAATAATTGTATTAAACTAGTTGTAGGGGTAGCGGCGATGATTTACGCACACGCTATATACAAGGCAATATGAAGAGTCTGTAGTTGTCTGTAGTTGTTTATAAAATAACGAAAATACGCAAAGCTCTATTTCATAACCTATGTGTAGGGTGGCTACAAAGAATACATTCTGAAGAACGTTGACTAGATTAAAGTGAGTCAGCATAAATGGCACTGGATTCGAATATGCCAAAGCATGTATTTTTCCATATTTTTTATCTGTGAATTCGACGATATAGGATATAGTGGTAAAGCTTATGTTAAGTCGAGATTCCCCTTTGATAGAAATTATTTAAATCCGATTGTCAAAAGAAAATATTGTATAAAAAAAGTGAGCTAACCAGTTTAAACATATCTGTTTACCTCTCTGATGACTTGATAGCAAAAAATAAGGGATCAGAGTAAATTAAAGTGGCCTGTGTTCTGAAAAGAAAGTTCGGCTATCGTTTGTCAGCTATATTTGTGAGATTGCGAGAATGTGTATAATGAATATGTATGTATATGTCCGTTCTAGTACCTAGACAAACGGATTTTACAAACATGCATGTATTTATTAGTTTAGGGTAGTGTGATACATTACCACGATGTCTAAAGAGACTGAATCAAACCACAGATGATCTCAATCGTCACCTCACTAACAGTACAGATAAAAAAAATAATGGCTTTAAATGTGTTAAAATTGAGTGAGCTTGATCGAGTAAGTATATATACATATTATATATAAAAGAATACTGCGTTCAGTATAATAATATTTATTCAGACAAAAATGTATGGAATTGTTATAATTTGACTGGGATTTGTCTATAGATAGCCGCGCATTTCGTATTGTCGTGCGGAAGCTTAAATACAGTATAGTTGAACTACACGCGCGAGCATAACAGGCATACCTCTCGATAAACGTAGCTCTGAGGCCTGGTCTGGGAAAGGGACGTATACTGACTCGACCGTAAACTTCCCGCCGCTGCTACAAACCGGAAGTGATTATAAACGGAAGTACCTGCTCCCATCTAAACAAGTTCCTGGCTACACTTACGTTTGCGACTCTCAGTCACAGTTTCACATTTGTTCTGAGTCGACACCAAGCTTTAATAACGACGCGTGCTACAGTCGATAAACAGTGTATGGAGCCAAGGATACACGCAATAACTGGAAACGACACATGTAATGTGATAAAAGATCAAGGAATTTGTATTCCATGTCTTGAAATTTACAGCTCATCAAAATGGATCACCCAGAGAAAGCGTGTGGTTGTAAAGGTATACGGACGTGCTTGTTGTGTGAGGAAATCGCAGATGACCAAACTTCAGTTTCAAAATCTGACCAACAGCCCGAAAAGGTGAGAAAAATTGATGGATCAAAATTAGTATGCCGGTGTAGTATCTATGCTCTTATTCAGAAACGATGTATACAAATACAAAAAGTGACAATGCTCTCAAATGCACACAAAATGAACTACAAGTCAACAAACCTAAGATTTTTTGTTATGATCTTCTGATACTCGTAATTAGAAAGTTAGAAAGAGTAACACCACAGTTGTTTTGTTTTTTGTTGTTGTGTTTTTTAAGGGTTTTTTATATAAGTTTTTCGTTATTTAACATCGCACCCACCAATCTTCGTGCTATGTGATGGCAGTCTGTAAATAATAGAATCTGGACCAAACAATCCTGTGAGTGGCATCATGAGCATCGATCCACGCAATTGGGATCGATGATATGCATAAACCAAGTCAGCAAACCTGACCACCCGATTCCAGTTATTCGCCTCTTGTGACAAGCATAGTCGCTTGCCTTTTACGGCAAGCATGGCATGCTGAAGACCTATTAGGCCCCAAATTGTTAGTCATTATTCACGCAGTATATTTTTCTGTAAACAGTAAATAAATCTTAATAAGTAAATTATATAATCGCCAAGCCACCCATTTTATCAATAACACCAACTGTAACCATATCTTTGTACGGCTCCAAAATGATTTTGATATGGTCTTGTTGCTACACATCACTACAGGTTGTTCCATAGTGTTTTCCACTTTTCCATGCATGTCTCCACTTTTCCATGCATGTCTCCACTTTTCCATGCAGGTCTCCACTTTTCCATGCATGGTCTCTACTTTTCTATGCATGTCTCCACTTTTCCATGCATGTCTCCACTTTTCCATGCATGTCTCCACATTTCCATGCATGTCTCCACTTTTCCATGCATGTCTCCACTTTTTCATGCATGGTCGTGTTGGTTGCTGGTTTTGCTGAGAGTTTAGAGTCGATCTATCACTAATTTCATGAGTCGTACAAACTTAAGTTACTTTGTTTTATCCCCCAAATTACACCAATTATTTAATTTTACTGGTCCTCAAGAAAGTATACTAGACTTGGACTAGCGGCCAGCGGCCAGTGTCAAACACTGAAGGTCTGTTAACCCAAAGCAATAAACAGTACGTTTATGACTTATATTGAAACCTATCATTCAAAATGGCTTAGTTTGTTTCAGACCACATCACAAGTCTACTGTTACTGCCACCACTGCAATGTAGCTCACGTGGATCCGGGGTGCAGGTCACATCCCCATACAGCTGCTGATGGTGAGAAGCTCGACTTCTCCGGTATCCTCATCCTTGAGGATTTTGTCAGCGAGTCAGAGGAGAAACAGCTCTGTGACATCATCTACAGAACGCCGTTCATGAAGTCGCAGTCTGGGAGAAGGAAGCAGGCATGTGATTGAGGTTGATTCTATCTAGCTGCATTTTCTTAGCTTTGACAATCCAACATTTATTAGGCCACACCCCCCTTCACAGGTTAGAATTGGTCTTCAGCAAACCATGTTTGTCACAAGAACCAACTAAACGGTGGTCAGGCTCGCTGACTTGGTTGATGCATGTCACTGTATCCCAATTGTGTAGATCAGTGCTCATGATGTTGATCACAGGATTGTCTGGTCCAGACTCAAAATATTTGCAGACCACCATCATATAGCTGGACTATTGCTGAATGCAGCATAGAAAACAAATCTAGGTAACCTAATAGTTAAATCGTCATGCCAAAGACTCAATGTGTGAAGCCCATTTCTGGTATCCCCTGCCGTGGTATTGCTGGAATATTGCTAACTCTATGACAGTAAGATAGGCTCGGTTTGTCCTGCGACCGAGGATGTTTCATGTCGTCATGCAGAGTTATTTCCCTTACTCCTGGTAATAAGTGCATATCATAATTAATGAGTTCACCCTCAAATACGTTTTGAAACATTTGCAACCAGTGTCATTTTCGTCTCACGTCAAAGCTGACCTTTATGATAGGAGTGAAAAACTGTGTGTACGTTTGTTGTGTAATGCCGCACTCATCCACCAAAACTGTCCACTTACTCCATTAATTTGATCGATCAGTGTTGGTTGCTAGGGAACTACTCTAACCCAGAATCCCCATGGGTGAGTGAAAAACTGTCAGAAGTAGCATCAGACGTCACTACCTCACTGAACTCTATGATCTATAGGGGTGGTCGGTTAGCCTAGTGGTTAAAGCATTTGCTTGTCATGCCGAAGACCCTGGTTCAATTCCCGACATGGGTACTATTTGTGAAGGCCATTTCTGGTGTCCCCTGCCGTGATATTGCTGGAATATTGATAAAGCTGTGTTAACCATACTCACTCACTCACTCACTCACACTGTTTTTCTCTTTCCAGGACTATGGGCCTAAGGTAAACTTCAAGAAACAAAAAGTGAAAACAGATGTATTCACAGGATTGCCTGATTTCAGCCAGTTTCTATACGAGAGGATGAAGGCTGTTCCCCATCTTGAGGATTTCATACCTGTGGAACTGTGCAATTTAGAGTATGTGCCGGAGAGGGGATCAGCCATTGATCCCCATTTCGATGATTTCTGGCTGTGGGGGGAGAGACTTGTGACCTTGAACTTGGTGTCTGATACCACGCTGTGTTTCACAAAGGATGACCTGCCCGGTGTGGAGGTTCACGTGCCGCTGTTGCAGCGATCTTTGATAGTCGTGTCTGGACCTGCTCGGGTTGAGTGGAAACACGCCATTCACAGACAGGATATTAAACAGAAGCGTATTGCCATGACTTTCAGGGAACTCTCGGATGAGTTCAGAGGTCAGGGAAAATTGGTATCTGTTGGACAAAAGTTAGTCGATGTGGCCTTGAATTTTACAGGTTCTGCTGTTGGATCAGCTCCTGCTTGATTGGCTGGTTCCTTTAGGTTTTATTGTTGCCATGGTTACCGCAAGTCTTTCTGTGCCTGAAGATAGATTTTATACAATGTTGTGTACAGTCTTCAAATGTATTTAATTTAAATTAAATATTAACAATATCATATTGATTGTTCTATTTCAACCCCCGAAGATCCGGGTTAGAATTCATTTCAGCAACCCATGCTTGCAGTAAGAAGTGACTATGCTTGTTGTAAGAGGCAACTAACAGGACCGGGTGGTCAGGCTCGCTGACTTAGTTAATGCCTGTCATCGTATCCCAATTCCGTGATTGTCACTGGATTCTCGATTATTTATCTCAATTATTTACAGACTGCCGTCATGTAGCTGTAATATATTGCTTTATTACCCACGTGGTGAAGATACAGGTGGTTAGATACTAAATCCGTACGTCACACGTGTGTCGTACAAGGTTGACCTTGTTTTATTCGTTTTGATTGGATAACCGTGACCTCTTGTCACACCGGGACTACTTTTTTCATTCATAAAAAATCGCGAGACGTCATTCATTTTGCGATTACAAGGCAGAACTGAAGAAATTCATGAGAACGAGAGATATTTACAAACACTTTATTAAACCAAACAAGATAGTCTCACGCATCAAATTCGGTTTGCATTCGATATAAGTTATGCATAGAGCTCCTACAGACATATAATCAAGCTAGATCTATAAATCGATTTACAATGTACGACTGCCGATTGAGCGCGTCCCTTGAGCGTGACGCACCCGACCATTTTCGCAACTTTTAATTTGATTTAACGTAAAAGGATAAGCGTGGTGAAATGAAGTCTGTTTAAACAATCTGGACAGATATCTAGACTTACTTGGGATGATCCGGTTGTGCCATCGGTGTCCCCTTTGAAGCGTATTTTGTGGCGCTGTTTCGGGAGGTGTTGTTCATGAATGAACGAACACGACAGCACGACCAGATCACTTAAAGTTCACAGTTCCGATACAAATCATTCGAAAACTCCGTGGAAGTGTGCTTGACTTCTGATTTTGTGGCCCCAAACATCCCAAATGTGAACAGTAACATTCCCTATCTCTAGCGTAAAACGCTGTGAGTGGATCGCGGTTGCCTTTTCTTATTCCGGTGGATCTTGCCCTTCGATCGTTCGAAGCTGTCACTGACATGCAAGCAGATTTGAGTTTGTTGATTTTCACGTCTTCAGTATATAGGGTGGTACAGTTAACATGAATGTCTTTGGCGAACAGTCTGATTTCCCTCTTCCAAAATGGTAGGGACATGATATAAATTCATCTGATAGATCAAGGAAACCGAACCATTTTGATTGCACAGACGGGACCCCGGCAGTGTGATGCGTGTGACTGTTGGTCCGATATTCAAAGCGCGGCGCTAATGTGACAATTCAAATTTTCTTATCGGTGTCCTGCGTACTAACAACATGGCGCTTAAATTACCATAAGTTGAAGACTTTCTTCCAAAAGGATCTTGAGCGTCGGTGCTGGTTTGTTTGCAAACAGAACAGCAGGCGCATGTTGTTAATGCGTATGCATAAACATGTCAACAATGCCCATATTTGGTCATATATCAATATTCATGCGCAACCAGATTTTGCAACCGGTTTCAGTTTGGTCTGTCAACGAACGAAAGTTGTTATGTATTTACACTTAAATATATATTTAACTTGGGTAATAAATAAAATACCACACTCATTCTCGTTAGATACCATTTTTACGAAACTCGTGAACTTTCTATGGTATCTGACCTCGCTTTCGTGAACTTTCTATGGTATTTGACCTCGCTTTCGCTCGGTCAGATACCATAGAAAGTCCACTCGTTTCGTAAAAATGGTATCTAACGAGAATGAGTGTAGTATTCTCTATAAGTGCTGCGTTAAATAACAAACAAACAAACAAATGCTGTTCTATTTAAGTCTTTGTTTCCAAATATTATCCTGATCATACATATGTATTAAGTGAGTTAGTGGTTTAACATCGTTTAAGACAGTTTTTCAGTTATATCACGGCATGTTGGCTTTATGTAATAGTTAAAACACGACTCAAGGGCTTTTCCCTCGTTCTCGGTTTTCCATTTTCAACCCAAACCTCAGAGTGTTTTAACTAACTTATGAACCATGTACAGTACTCTACATGCAAGAAATACCAAAAAGAATAAGAAAACATTGGCATACCTATAGTGAAACAATGCAGTAGTCACAGTATAAAACAATTTAGATGACAGCAGACAAGAGAAAGACCCTGTGCAGCATGCATACAACTGAATTCATGACATGTAAAACTGAACACCCTTTCATCACCTGCCTCGCTTGGAAAACAGGGTTACAATACTAAACATGAGATGTGAGGTTGCAGGTTCAATTCTCTCTCATGGAATTTTCATGTGAAAAAAAATGTGTCTTTTGACACTGTTTAGTCACTAACAAGATCAACATTAGATGTTTATACAATTCAAATGTAAAACTTCTCTCCAGGTCTCACTTAAAAGTGGTTACTATGAGATAGCTGGAGACCTACAATACAGTAGGCTAAAGTGGCAGTAGGTTTCTGATGTTGGAGGAAAGCCTGAAGTGATAAAGATCAGAGAAGTTTACCATTGTGGTGAAACCCATGAGACGGGTATGGTGCTGACAAACCTAGAAACTTATTCAGAGAGAACAGGGATTCAAACTCACAAATACTTTTAAGCACAGGCTCAGGATGTCTATCACTGGATCGCCTGGTCAAGACATGATTATTTACAGACCACTGTAAAATAGTTGGAATCTTGCTAAACAAACAAACACAACTTTCCACATATCATTGCATATTAAGACTGCCTTTTATCAGTGTTTATATGAAGGTGGAGTGATGATAAGTGCTGAAATGTAGAGTGTAGTCCAAAATGAAGGGACTCTTGCTAATTTTGTACTGTGTTACAGACATCATTGAATATCATAATTATATTGATGCCTATGTGTGGCTGGAGATTGATGCTCTACACTTTCTTGGTCGATTGTCAAACAAACGTAAACTATAGAGTTGTCTCCCTTGTACTACTGATCTGTAAACTACAAACTGTATTTCAAGTTTATGCTCAGGTTTGTTTTCTGACTAAACCTGTTTTGCTTTGGTTATTTCGTCTGCACTAGATATATTTCCACCCATAATACAGGTCGGGGATAGTGCACTGTGTTGTGGTCGTTCGGTCGGGGATTGTGTACTGTGCTGTGGTCGACAGGTTTGGATTGTGTACTCTGCTGTGGTCGACAGGTCGGGGATAGTGTACTCTGCTGTGGTTGACAGGTTCGGGAATAGTGTACTGTGCTGTGGTTGACAGGTTGGGGATAGTGTACTCTGCTGTGGTTGAAAGGTCGGGGATACTTTACTCTGCTGTGGTTAACAGGTCAGAGAAAGTGTACTGTGCTGTTGTCGACAGGTCAGGGATAGTGTACTGTGCTGTGGTCGACAGGTCTGGGATAGTGTACTGTGCTGTGGTCAACAGGTCGGGGATACTTTACTCTGCTGTGGTCGACAGGTCGGGGATAGTGTACTGTGCTGTGGTCGACAGGTCAGGGATAGTGTATTCTGCTGTGGTCGACAGGTCGGGGATAGTGTACTGTGCTGTGGTCGACAGGTCGGGGATACTTTACTATGCTGTGGTTGACAGGTCAGGGATAGTATACTGTTCTGTGGTCGACAGGTCAGGGATTGTGTACTGTGCTGTGGTCGACAGGTCGGGGATACTTTACTCTGCTGTGGTTGACAGGTCAGGGATAGTGTACTGTGCTGTGGTCGACAGGTCTGGGATAGTGTACTGTGCTGTGGTCAACAGGTCGGGGATACTTTACTCTGCTGTGGTCGACAGGTCGGGGATAGTGTACTGTGCTGTGGTCGACAGGTCAGGGATAGTGTATTCTGCTGTGGTCGACAGGTCGGGGATAGTGTACTGTGCTGTGGTCGACAGGTCGGGGATACTTGACTATGCTGTGGTTGACAGGTCAGGGATAGTATACTGTTCTGTGGTCGACAGGTCAGGGATTGTGTACTGTGCTGTGGTCGACAGGTCAGGGATTGTGTACTGTGCTGTGGTCGACAGGTCGGGGATAGTGTACTCTGCTGTGGTTGACAGGTCGGGGATACTTTACTCTGCTGTGGTTGACAGGTCAGGGATAGTGTACTGTGCTGTGGTCGGCAGGTCAGGGATTGTGTACTGTGCTGTGGTCGACAGGTCGTGGATAGTGTACTGTGCTGTGGTCGACAGGTCGGGCATACTTTACTCTGCTGTGGTTGACAGGTCGGGGATTGTGTACTGTGCTGTGGTCGATACGTTGGGGATAGTGTACTGTGTTGTGGTCGACAGGTCAGGGATTTTGTAATGTGTGGTGGTTGACAGGTCTGTGATTGTGTACTGTGCTGGGGTCGACAGGTCAGCGATTGTGTACTGTGCTGTGGTCGACAGGTCGGGGATAGTGTACTGTGCTGTGGTCGACAAGTTGGGGAAAGTGTACTGTGTTGTGGTCAACAGGTCAGGGATTGTGTACTGTGTGGTGGTTGACAGGTCGGTGATTGTGTACTGTGTGGTGGTCGACAGGTCGGGGATAGTGTACTGTGTGCTGTGGTCGACAGGTCGGAGATTGTGTACTGTGCTGTGGTCGACAGGTCGGGGATTGTGTACTGTGCTGTGGTCGATAGGTCGGAGATTGTGTACTGCGCTGTGGTCGACAGGTCGGGGAAAGTGTACTGTGTTGTGGTCGACAGGTCGGAGATTGTGTACTGTGCTGTGGTCGACAGGTCGGGGATCGTGTACTGTGCTGTGGTCGATAGGTCAGAGATTGTGTACTGCGCTGTGGTCGACAGGTCGGGGATTCTGTGCTGTGCTGTGGTCGACAGGTCAGGAATACTTTACTTTGCTGTGGTTGACAGGTCGGGGATACTTTACTCTGCCGTGGTTGACAGGTCAGGGATAGTATACTGTGCTGTGGTCGACAGGTCAGGGATTGTGTACTGTGCTGTGGTCGACAGGTCGGGGATACTTTTACTCTGCTATGGTTGACAGGTCAGGGATTGTGTACTGTACTGTGGTCGATAAGTTGGGGATAGTGTACTGTGTTATGGTCGGCAGGTCAGGGATTGTGTACT